AGTGGAAAAGAGCCTCACATAATGTCTTCAGAATGACTTTGTTCCTCCCACAGACACCAACGATTCCACAGGTCGACTGGGTGTGAATTAAAACTTTCATTTACTGTAAATTAGCAAGAAGACCTGAAAGGACTCCTTGGAAAAAACTTCTCCTTAGACAGAGCACTAGATCTGTGGTCTCTGTTCTTTCCCTTGAAGACTGGCTGCTATTCAGATACACTGGGAGGGGAGCAAAAACTGATTTATTAGGAAAAAGAAATCATTATTATTAATATTTACTCTCGTGCTGCCAGATCCGTCTTCTAGCAAACTGTTGACAGGAGATAATGGTTGCTTCATTAGATTATGCTGACATAAAATTATATAGCACAGAAATGAACTTTGTACTTGTATGACTAACAAAAGCCTAAATGCTTTAATCTTAACTTACAGCATTAAATGGCGTAGAAGCTGCATAATGCAGATTAAATACAGAATTAATATTTAATGAATTACGTTGAAGAATAACTGAGTCAAATTCAAGAAATCTGAGGATTATAATAGCTAATCTTTCTAGAGAGAGCAACTTCTTACAGACAAATCAATAGGTTGTGCTAGGAACTAGTCATGTGTTCCTGTGCACTGGGATTATAAGTGAATGCCAAGGGTCAGCCACTTGGCTCCCATTTCTGGCCGCCCTGAGGCTGCAGTCCCTGCGCTGTGGTCTGCCATTCGTGACCAAGACGCTTGGGCCTGGCTCCGTGCAGCCCCTCCAGTGCCCTGCTCCACCACCCGCCTGGCGACTCTTCGGGAGACGAAACCACACACTCCCATGTTGCTTTGTGCTCTCCACAAACAACTCAACTGAAAGCTAATGTGTCCTCCTTCAGCATTTTTCTCAAGACTGTCTTGTTGCAGTGGCTATAAAAGAAAAACTTGTTAACAGCTGAGTTGTGGGTGTGATGAAACTACTGCCAGTGCGCTAGTCAGGGTTATTGCGCTAGGTCCTTGCACGCTGCCCCTCCGTGAGGCTTGTCTGAGAAGGAGCTTCCTAGCTGTCGTGGGCAGAAGCTGTGAACAGAGCTGCCAGGCTCTGTGGTAATACAAATAAATGACAAAAATGAGAGAGACGCAGGCAGGCAAGCTCCAGGGAGCGAGCAGTGGCCGCTGGAGGACAGGGATACAGGCAATTAAGTGAGAAGCTCTCTCAAATAAGCAGAGCTGCAAGGGCCCTGGCCAGGCTGCCCATGGGGGCTGGTAGGAGGAATTTGCACTGAGAATTTACTATGTTGTTTTCCCTTGCGGATAGGCTGGCTGCCCCCCAGCCTCTAATTGGTTTTTGCTTAGCTGTGGCTGCTTGCATTTGCCATAGCTGGAGCTGAAGCCTATGGTGTTAGCCATAGAAACACGCTGTGGCTTCCCCGTGCTCCTTGAGATGGTTGTGCACTGCTGCTTAGGTCGGAGGAGGAGGAACACACAGACTGCGAGATGCTCACGTTGCAGTTAACCATTGCGCCTGGGAAAGCACAAGGAGTATCACAACCCCTCCTGCGCTTGCTACCCCTGATATATCTTTTCTTGTTCTTTCCACATGGGCATTTTCCCTTCCTTTCCCTCTCCCTTTGTGTTCCCAGGAGCACAGAAGTTGTTTTTTGTGGTCTGGCGCACTGGAGCCAGAGCCAGGGGAATGGCAGTTGGTGAAGCAGTGCCCTGGAGGGCAGACCTGATTGGGCCCAGTAAGAAGATCCTAAACTTTTCCATCTACCACCTGTGTTAGAAGCATTGAAGTGACTTAGAGGTGCTGGCGTGACCGACGGGCACTATCAAGCTGAATATAATTAAATAGGCAGCTGCTGTTCATCTTCCAGTCTCTGGATGTTGCTGCTCCGGCCACGAGCAGTTGGGCAGTAAAGTGCTTTTGATTGCTGGCTTCGGCCATGATTTGCTCTGTTGTTGGGTGGTAAAGAAAGACTCTGCTGTTTTGTTTAAACAGCAGGAGTCAGCGAGATGAGCTTGGTAGCCTATGCGCATCTCCTCTGCAGTTACTAGGAAGCTGCAGGCAAAGCTCCTTGTGCGCTTTTTTTTTTTTTTTGCTTCTCTTTCTCCTACTTGAACACCCTTTTTGGGCAGTCTCCCTAGCAAGGCAGAGTCAAGAAGGGCCCCTGAGCCCTGCCCAGCTCAGCCACTGTGCCAGGTCCCACAGCTCTGAGCTGAAGAGGTGACCGTGTGAGAGAGGGCGGTGCCACTCCATTTGCTGCTGTTCAGCATGAGATCCAAGGAGTGCCACTTCTGTTGTGGGTATGTGGAAGTGGGTTAATTAAATACTCATATTAACTTTTCCAAACAAATAGGAAGCAGGTATTGCTGAAATTAGTAATTATGGTAAATATTAGTGATAGCAAGAAGAGGTGAAGCTCCTGAGAATCGTTGTGTCTACACTGAAATGGCGTATAAGGTAGGTGGGTTTTTTTTTTGG